AAAAAGTGGTAATGAGGTAACTCTGGCAGTATTTAGAGCCCTCAGATTGTTATGTGAGAGAAGGGAGAAGGTGTAGCAGATTCTTGTGCTGTGACTTTTTTAACCTCTTCAGGCTTGTTTTGGTTTGCTTATTTTGCTTAATCACCAGATCAAGGTTGCCAGTGCCAGTATGATCTAGCAGGAGGGCAGAAAAGCCCAACTTCATAACTATTGCCTTCTTTGTTTGGTCTCAAGTCAGGTAGTGTAATTTTTCCAAGTACTGCTTTGTGTCACTTGGCTGGACATGCTACAGGAAGGTTCAGCTCATACTCAGCTGTCTTATCAGATATAATTTGGTAACTATCTTTAAAAACAAAAAGCTAGGAACAAAGAATTAAATACTTGCTGAGCCTGAAAGCCTTCCAAAGTGGTGCATATATTTTCTTGTTTTATTTCCCATATTCTCTTTTAGGAGAAAACTTTTCGTTTGTTATCGATATGGTTTATCTCAACAATCCTAGCTAATGCTGTATTATTATCCCAATAATCATGGACTTAAGAGAAAATGCGAAATTGACAGTTTTAATGAAAAACACAAAATCTCACTGAAAAAAATACAAAAACTCAAACTTTCTCTTGGGGTCTGGCTTCCTTTGCCGGAGGTGTGGGTGTGTTTTGAGCAATTGACTTCACTGTGATAGGCATGAGAGGTGAGAGACAGGTGGTGCCTTTTTGAGAAGTAGCTGGCCTCCTCCTGAGCTCTTAGGTTGGAAGCCTACAGATACCACTGAGAGCAGGAGGAGAGAATGGAAATGAAACCATAAGAAGAGGGGACCTGACTCTCACAAAGGAAAAATATCTTTTGGAGGGAGGGCATAGTAGATCCTCTTTCTAATTTCCCTCTTAATGGCTTAGCCCCCCGCAGGTAGGTGAAACAAGAAGGCTGCCCTGTAGGTTGGACTATTAGTATTAAAATCAGCAAGGGAAGTTGAAGGAACACAAGCACTTAGGAAAAAGAGGACCCTTGCCCCTCCCCCCAACACACCTTTTAGAGAAAATGATACTATTTTATTGACAGTATTGTTTTTTGAACAAATTATCCATCTTATTCGTGGAAACTTGAAATTAAAACTCCAGCCAGCTAAAAAGGGAGTGGCAAATATTTTGTTCAGGTGTGTACTGAAACATTTCTAGCATACTATAAAGCATTTTTTGGCTGGTAATTAAAATGTCATATTAAAATTTTAATGTCATGAAATTGGCCATTTGACTGCATTAAAAAATGTTGCTCTTTCCCATAACATTCATGATTTTCCAAAGTTGTCCCCTTCAAATTACTTTATCAGTCACTTCTAGCAAAACATAAGCAAATGTGACTTTGGCTTGTGGTTGTCACTTCAAGTGTCTGGAGAACTCCTGTGAGGTTTCCCCTGCTATTTCTAATACAGTGCAAATCAAATCAAGATAGCAATTATCCCAGACTTTTATCCAAGAGCATATTAAATGAAATCTCACTTTAATATAAAATTAAATACTTTCCCTAAGTAATAGCATCAAGACAACTAAAATCTACGTGTAGCAATTTTTAAAGCATATGATACACATTTATGTAGCATGATTATAAATAGCACAAATGAAAATCTAGCAGATGCAGCAAAAATATGATTGCTTTAAACCATACTAAGGATATGAAATGCTTGCCAATCTTATCACCCTAAAATAAATTATTTTCCAGAGGTTTTAGAAACTTAAAAACAGCCAAACGAGTTGCATTGTACACCTATGTGATGGTCTCTGTCTAGTTGCACCTATTCCCTTTCCTTCCTCTCTTTTTTCTCAGGCCTTGTCTACACTACAGAGTTTTGTCAGCAACAGGCAGCTTTTGGCGACAAGACAGTGGAGGTGTACACACTGCAATGCGACTTTTGACAACGAAACTCTGTAGTGTAGACAAGGCCTTACTCTCACCTGTGCTGATTAGGAGACTTCTGTCCCCTGCCCAAGTCTTATTTGAGATGTGGCTTCTGCAGCTTAGTCCTGTCTTTATCAAATGGCAGTGGTTTCGAGTACCACCATCCTTTGTTTCTGGCTGCTGTCAGAATGGCTTCCTAGGCCTCCCCCTTGAGCAATGCAAGTTTTGCACTGCCCACACCAACGCTATGTCGGCGGGAGAGTGCTTCCGCTTCTCACCGAGGCGGAGTAATTATGTTGACGGGAGAGTGCTGTAATGTAGACTTACCGTTTATCTGTGTATATTATACTGGCAGAGCACTCCTGTGGCTTGTCTGTACAGGATGATGTTGTGTGGCAAGCCAGGGTCTGAATTTACAGTGCACCAGCTTGTTGTGCAGTAACATCCCATGTGGATGCTGTACAGCACACCCAAAAGTGCCAGAATGCATTTTCGCTGCTACTATTTGTAAAGTGTAGTAAGTCAAACTACATTCTGGGACTTAGGGTGCCGTAGCAGTGTCCACATGGGACATTAGTGTGGCAACCCCGTAGTGCTGGCAATTCTGAACACAGGTTACATCAGCAAAATTGTGTTATTGCTGGAATAGCAAATTCCAGCCACCTACACTCCCCCAAACAAAATAAGCTATAGCAGCAAAAGTGCAGTTTTGATGGGATAAACTGCTTCCACGCTAGGGGCTTTTGCAGGCGTTCAGATGTGAAATGATGAGAACTCGAATGAGACTTTATCTACTGTCTCTGTGTGGACATAGAGGAAAGAGTGGGTTTTAGAGAAG